CGCTTTCAGAATTTATTTGAATTATCGTATTTGCGCGCGCATTTTCAAAGTCAACCTCGCGCATGCGCAGTTGACTTTTCATGAAAACTGACAGCTGGACCTAATTGCGGGTAATAAATGACTAAGTTTTCTTGAATAAATTCTAAAGATGGCGCTATAGTTGCTAATCTCAAAATTAATCCAAAATTTCACCGACGGAGTAAAAAGTATAACAAATACGTCAATGTATATAAAACCGTCCCACACTCGCTCTGTTCAGTATTCATATTAAACGGAGCACGATAACACGTATGCGGTAGTTACAGAACATGAAAAACTCCGTTCGTTAAACTCGCGACAGAAATAATATTAAAAAAGTATAAAATAAGACTAAAACTGAACTAACTAGCAGTTGCCAGTTCAATATAAAACCCAAGTAATCTCAACCCGGCGTTACACATCGTTATCTAAGTCGCTGAATTAATATAAGTATTTCGTCAAGTATAAATTAATAGAGCACACAAATATATACACATGCTTTACTTGTCAAGGTAATACTCGCCAGGGGAGTAATTGTCAATGGAACTAAAAAATATTCAATTAAGTTATTGTCATTGCTCTTTCTGGAATTTCTCAAATCGACTTTTGAACAACTGAAAAAAATTATTAATTTTTTTTATGTAAGTATACATTTATGTATAAAAAATAATTTATCAGATATTTAATCATTTTTTTTAACAAATAAATTAAAAAATTGTCATGCAGAAATTTTAAAAAATAAAACTGCAATTTTTTTAAAATAATTTTTTCGAAAAAATTTGTTTGTTAAAAAAAATGTTCAAGTAAACTGTATAGTTAATATCAAATAGTGTAATAATAATAATATTGACTATAATGTTATTTTTTGGCAGATGTAATCACGACCTTGAAATAACTTCCTTGAAACAAATTTGCAGTGGATGCATTTTCAGACACTGAGGGTAGTGTGAGAATCTTAGAGTTAAAAAAAATTAGTCAGATGCTCGCTGACAGATTTAGTAAATAGCACACAGTCGCTGAAACCAACAGAACGTCGATTAAAAAAGTAATTTTAATTACACATTTAATTTTTTTTGGTTCGGAAAAGTGATTTAATTATTAAAAAGTTATTTTATTGTAATTATGTGTATTGTGATTGAGTGAATCTTTACGTGGGCGTTAACGATTAGTTTTTCTTGCCTGTGATTTCGGTTATGTCCTAAATCAGTACTAGTTTAGTACACGCTGTTATTTTCCAACTATTACATATAATATTCCTGGTTAAATTGGATTAGAGGAGCTTAGTGGCAATTAATAACACCAGGTAAGAAAATTTTTATTATTATTTTATTTTATTGTCAATAACAGATTTTTTTTTTTTTAACTAGTTTATTTTATCGAAAAATATTTTTTTTTTAGTGATACAAATTTTGATTCGCTGGAAAAAATTTATCGAATTATCAAGGGTTGTTTTATCACCTTGTGATGTAATGATATTATTTATAGATATTGCTTTGAAATATTATTTTGCGTTATAAATTTTTTTTATTTATAATGATGATTATTTTTAGACTTTTGAAGCTGTGAAAAAAAATCTGTCAATAATTATTGAGAAATTTAAATATCAAATCATTTAATTGAATTTATTAATATAAAATAAATTATTTCACTAAATTAAAATTTTGCTCAGAAAAAAATAATTATTGACTCTAAAATAAAATTTTTTGTCTTAAAAAAATTTTTTCATGCTCCAAAAAAATTTAACTTTTTCTTAAAATTTTTTTTTATATTCATATAATCTAAAAAAAATTAATACATAGTCTATTTTATTGAATTAACAAAGAAAGTAACGGTTATAATTGTTGATTAATTAATAATTGATATCGTGCAAATGATAACGCAAATATTGCATTGCGCATAATCTATAAATAACTCAAAAACGTAAATAACAATTTACTGTCAATTTAATGATTCTGACTCACTATAAATTAGAAATTATATTTACAAGTAATTTAAAAAAAAGTATTTTTTCAATGATTCATTTAGTTTCTCTTTAACATTTTTTTCCAAGATAAATTTCTCTAAAAGAAAATAGTGAACCTCGTTTCTCGTTATAAAACCACGTGCAATAAATTTTTATCCATCATTAATTTAAGATAAACAATTCGATAAATAAAATTATAATTAATGAATTTATTTTTATAATTTTATCTTATCATAGAGAAAACAATACCTATTATCATCACTAATTAATTTTTTTTATCAAACTCTTTAAAAATTTTCCAAAACAAACCAACAATTATTATTATATAAATATAATCATTAATAATACAATTTGATATTTAAAAAATTAATTTATTCTCCAAGTAGGTCAGCGAGTAATGAACTAATAAATATGTTAATTGAGTTAGATCAAATTAAGCAATCAATTATACAATAAAAATGTATTCACAATCACGGAATAGAATGAATAATTAATTAATTATTTTTTCGATCTAGCTAACGCGAAAAACTTTCATTTTATTTTTAATGATTTACTTTAATATTAATCTAATAAGTATTAAAGTAGCCGATCGCCAGTGAAATTAATACAGCGAGGCTTGGCTTCAGGAGACAGGAACTGAACAACATCCGGGCATTATTTATATTCCAGTTAGATCTTGAATAAAATCGGGCCGATCTCCATCATCATCTCACGTCACTGAACTCTCCTTTTATTATTATCGTTTAATGTATAATTGTCCGTATCCTACTTGTCGGAAGACTTACAGGTCATTGTACTGTGAACCATAAATTATTTTGTCTACAAAAATCTTATCTTTTCACTTTTTAAATTTTTTTTCGATAAGTATTTTTTATTTTTATTAATGCGCTAATAGACAATACTTTCGATTAATAAAATTTAATACTAATAAATTATGAGATTAAAGTTAGCAGTCACTTAACCATTTTTTAATTTTTTTTAACAAATGGATTTTTTCTAAAAAATTATGTTTAAAAAATTGCATTTTTTGTTTTTTAAAATTTCTACATGTCAATTTTTTTTTTACTTTTTTTTTGCCATAATTTATTTGTTAAAAGAATTCTTAAAATTATCAAATATCTGTTAAATTAATTTTCATTAGTAAATTAATTGAAGCTGTTTCAATTTTGCTGTAACTAAAAAAAAATTAAAACTTGTGAATAATATTAAAAAAAAAATTTTTATTAGATCATTTTTTAAAAACATAATTGGTTAAAAAAAATTATTAAAATTTATATAAAGAATTGACGTAAGACAAAAACAAAATCTTGGTAAAATATTTGAACTTGATTCTGCAAATATTTGGCATAAATTTAAGCGAGTTTGGCTTGAACAGAATAAAATGTAAACCTCGGATTTTGCATCGTTAATATTGAGCTCGCTCCCAGGTTTTGGTAACAATTTAATTATTTAAACCACGATTTGAACCAAGAATCCACATCCAAACAACTATTTGCATATTTTGTATATCTGTACAGGCACATACGTCGGAAAGTTGATTTTAGAGATGTTTATGTGAATAATTGGGACGCTGTCAACAGTAGAAACATTCACCTTATATATATTATCCAATCGCTGACGTAATTTTCCTTAAAATTGAATTATATATTTTTTAATTATAAAATTATTAAAATTTTTCCTTTATTACATAAATATAAATAATTCAAATAGATCCTATCGCTCCAAAAATAAATAATTTAAAGTTATAATTTAATAATTAAAAATAAAAGTAATGTATCGTACCTTCCAAATGACTAGATATTTTTCAACAAGTTATAAATAATTGTTAACTTTTTCTTTAAATAAATGTTTTATGTATTAGCCATTGTGTGATGAAACCATTAGTTTATTTTTACTGAATAGTAATTACGAAATTTCAATAATTTTAGTGCTGGGTGAATATTCACCTAAGGTTTATAATAATAAAGCATGGCTAGAATAATAATAATTGTTTATTATATTATTTTATTCTATTTAAAAACATTTTTTTTTATTACGAGCATAACAAAGCACTTTGAACCACGTTTCCGGGTATAATTGGATAAGTTAAATATAAATATAAATATATATATATATATATATATAGCAGTTACAAGTTATAACGTTTTTAAATTGTACGATTTACGGTTACGAAAGCGTCAACGATTCGCTCAATGGTTAGCTCTTACGTGGCTCTTGGGGGTTGTAAGAAAGCCTGTCGAGTTCAACCTACACGGATTCTAGATTCTATATCTACGCATTAACTATTATGTCACGTGACGGGTCATATATGCATATAAACGACTTTACTTATATTACTACAATATTGTTATATTTTTTTATTGATAAAATTAGGTGTCATAGAAAATATTTTTGTCTTTTTATAATCAAATAATAATTATTATCATCATTCAAAATTTTTTTCTCTTAAATTAATCAAGTTAATTTTTTTTCAGTGTAGATTTTTTTTGAAGTAATCACGTTGCAATTTATAATTAAAAAACTAATTTAATAAAAATTTTTATGATTATAAAAAATTGCCACTTACTGTCATTAATATTAACATAAAGCATTACTCACTTTTATTTGATTAAAAAAATCATAAAGCACAAAAAATCAATTTCGCTGGATATATAAAATACATTCTGTTACTTATCAATATTATCGTAATTAATTTCTGTTCACATTAATAAGCGCATGTATAATTTTACCACAAATACAAAGATAATAAAGATTAATTTAAAAAACAAGACCTTTAAAAGTCGACTTTTTATCAATTTGTTCTCATACATAATTCCTAAATGCACTTTATACTTAAACTGCAGCCTCTTCAATATGCTATTTTTTTACAGCAGGTATATCAGCGAATAAAACTACCATTCAAAAGCCAGTATTAACAATAATAAAAGTTAACAAATGGGTTACACAAATAAGTGATGTAATAAAAATTTATATATTTTTTTTTCAGAGCGAGTAAAGAGCTCAAAGTAAAAAAGCGACAATGCCGACGGTGTTTCTAGCCCGATTGCCAGTTCCCAGTTTCCGAGTTTACACCGTAATTAGTGTTGCTATATGGTCATGTTCGGTTTATTATGCAGCCCAGATAGTTAAGGATCCTGGATGGCGCTCAAATAATACTCCGATTACCCTAAGTGATCAAAATAATAATGGAACCGAAAGCGGGAATGGTTCAAATGACTCGAGGACACCGGGTATGCACTTGAAAGAACTTCTTGCCTGTATGATTCAAGAACCCGTTTGCTTTTGGGTGAGTTTTTTTTTCTTATTCATTTTACACATATTTGCTTGGTTTAAGCAGATCCAATTGTTGCCGATCTTCTTGAAAAAATTCTCAATATTTAAAAATTTATATCACAATTTATGATTAATAATTCACAATTTGCCGCGTGTTAACAATCGAATCCCTTTGAATAATTAAAAAAAATCTAGTTTTCTCATTAAATATCCGTAAAATTCTTTAATTTTTTAAAAGAAAATATTTTTCTTCACTTAATAATCATCTAAAAATTTTTCAATTAAATTTACCTCAATCTTGTAAAACAGATGTTATTTATTTAATATACAACGTGGTATTCGTGCATAACAAGTCAGACTATACAATAGTGCTTGACTAGATTTACATCGTGAGCAGTTCAAGGTCGTTTTTCTCTACTTGCTTATATTGCTTTTAAACATCATCTCGTGTATTTACAAGTACATACCTACAAGTACACTATATGTATCTAATGATATATACAGTAGAAAAAGATTTAATGATACCTTCCAAACTGATATTTTTCGCGTGAATATACGTACCTATATGTAGAAAATTAAATAGCACAGTAGTGTAGTGCAATCACTAAAAATTCAAAGGTTAAACGATTTTTCTCTCATCATTAAATGTAAAAATATTATTATTATCATTATTAGTGACGATAATGTCGATAATTACGAGTTATGAATAAGAAGCATTTTTATTAAAATTATTAATTATATTATATATACATTTTGGGTAAGTTTTATAAATTAAAATAAAATAATAAAAAATTTAATTTATTAAAAAATACTCCCAAAATTTATCATAATAAATTAACCATCCGAAATTTTGAAAAGACACAAATCCAGGTCAAGACTTAAAATGATTCTAAATTTAACTAAATCACCTACTTTATAATATAAGATACCCAAAAAAAAAATTTTTTTTCATACTCACTTGTATTTAAAAGAGCCGTATTTTCTGCAGTATAAGTAAAAATGACTCTTGCAATTTCTTCGGATGATAAGCAGTCATTGTCATGATACTTGATATGATGTTAAACCTCTATTCATATAATATATGATATATGATATAATATTTGCACGATATATGATTTTAGTCAGTCGAAACGCGAGAGGAGGACACGTGTAGAGTGACATTTAATGAGTTTGAATTACTTACAAGTCATTTAATGATAGCATAAAACGATAAGCTTGTCAGATTTATATGTGATATAAATTTTTATTAATAAATGCGAATTAATATATACGACTATTTCTGTTCCGACTGACGTCTAATTTTATTGTATATCATTGTGGCTTGTTCGTTCCATTTTGTAATACCGCTGTACGTTATTATCCTTATTGTTATTATTTTTATTTTTTTGCTTTATGTCAACACAATGTGCTTAAAAATTTAAGAATATTTCAAATTTTTTCCTCAAACTTTTCCGCTACTTATGACCATTCATTAGTGGTTTCAATTTTTAATTTGACTTGATTAGATAAATTACTGTTTTTAAAAAATTCAATAGCCACGCCTTTCTGCTTAAAGTGTACGATTTCGTGTTAAAACATACTAATGTTAATAAGCTAAAAAATTCTTAAATTATTTTTTTTTATTAAAACGACAGAAGCCTTTTAAAGTTATTAAACTTAGAATTTAAATACACACGACTTAATAATGTATACAAATATTTTGAAAGAAATAAAAATATCACCTATGACTCAAAGTCGTAAACATTGACAGTATACATGCCTCAGAAAATTACCTTTTAGTTACTACTGATATTACAAACAAATTCCTCTAACTTTTTGAAGGTTTAGTGATAATAATATTCAAATATAAATTTAAATTCTAATTCCTTAATTATCATAAAAAACAGCTAATTATCTTAGAAATAAAATTTTCAATATTTCACTCGATATTTTTATTTAAAATTTGTTTTTCAATATTAAGACGATGTATAGATAAAAATCCGAATTTTTAATATATTGTTAAATTATATTAATTACCCATAACATTATTTTTTTTTTAATTTAAATAATAATTAATTTAATTATTTAATAAATAATTTAATAGAGTACTTATTAAAAGTTTTATCATTAATAATTAATTATCCAAAAACTCTTCGGCGAATTTTCTTTAAAAAATTGTCATACAGAGTAAAAAATTTTTTGTTAAATATTTATCATTTTTTTAAGTTGAATTAAGTGAATTAATTAATTAAGAGAATTAATGAAAAAATGAATTAATTAATTAAGAGAATTAATTCAAAAAAAGTGTTAAATATTTAGCACAAAAATTTTTAATACAAAATTTAATGTCAATTAACAACATATTAAAACTTAATTTCCAATCGACCTTAACAAACAAAAAAATGCTGTGAAAAATTATAATTATTTTCAGTGACTACAAATGTGTCAAAATAATAATATATAACATGACATTTTTTATTCACAATATTATTGATTCTTGAATGACGGTTTTCTGGTTATTATACTCCTCCAGCAAAATAATTGTCTGTGTCAAGAAACTCGTCGGGAAGATAAGCCATAAAAAAATCTTCAACATATAGATATAGTTAGTTATATCTTTAGCGAGTAACGACCTACACAAACGCACACTGTTTTCAATACCAGTTAGTTTCTTTCCATCATTTCTGATGTTAATAGAATGAAACTTTCCAGAACGACTGAAAATAACGACTATCCAGCAGGTCGACCTACCCTAGAAATTAAACTACTCATACATTTATACGTTATTATACTTATACTTGTACCTATTACTCGGAATAAATTTTCATTTATTTTTTTTTACCGATGGAAAAAATCTCAGAAAATATAGAGCCAGAATAACAGTAAAGTATTGCGTTCGCTCCTTTTAAATTATATATTACACCGCTATCTTATGTACTAAGAATTGATGTACGCAAACCCGCATTACAATACTTTCCACACAATAGAGACGGGCTTTGATATAACTTGGAGAGAGAAACATTGAATTAAATTGTGAAGAAAAATTGCACCCACATAAATAAGATAATTGCGAAAGATTTTCGAGCATTATATTACGAATGCTGTCTTGTGTCTTGAATACGAATAATTTTTCCCTAGTATGTAATGGTAATGATAATCCCGATCTGATGTTAATAATTTTAAATTAAATATTTAAGCAGCTGTTGAAGTTAAGATTGATCAATGAAAAAATAATTACGTGATGCGATGACAGTATTTTTTTCTGTTTGTTCAGTTGTACAATCGCTCTGGTAAAACTATTATAAAAATTGCATAATTATAAACGTGTGAGTAATCGTAATTACAAAACAGTTATTGATTTGTTCGATAATTTTATTCCTATTATCTTTTATTATTTTATTTATAAACTTATTATCAAGTATAATAAACTTTGCGGTTTGCAGTATTAATATTTCTATTTTTTGTAATTGTTTTTCTTACGGTGTAAGGCGTTTAAATTTATGAATTTATGAGGGATTTAATGATAGTTCAAGACAATTTTATGTGGAAAATTATTTTTATTTTATAAGTAGTAAATTCGTTCATTTTTATAAATTGCCGGCTATATACCCTTGAAAAATAAATTAATCTTATTTATGGGATAAATTTCACGGGAAATTATTCAGTACGTCTTTAAATCTTTACTCTAGGCTTTAAAAGTTTTTTTAATAAATATTTTAAATAGACACATCGTCTTGATAAATATTAATAAAGCAATTTACGTATTTTTAAACAGGATTTATTTTATAAAAATAAAAACGCTAAGATATCCAACATACATTAGTTTTTTTAATTTAAAAAAAATATATTTTAACAATAAACGATAATCTTTTTTAACAATTTAGCATTTTTAATTATCTGATAAATTATTTATATTTTAATTTCCAAGAGTTGGATAAAATTTTAAATAATTAATTAAATAAGCTTTTACATTTAAGAAAAGATTTATTGAATTTCTATTTTTATCCTCTACATACCTAAAAGTTCATTAAACGTTTATGTTAATTCACAACTGGGTGATATTTAAATAAATTTTGTTTGCATATCTACTTTTTTATAATGCACGCATACTATAAAAATCTTTAACGTAAATCAATTACAGGTTATATTTGTATATATGAATTTTTAAATTCTTTATAAATAGATGCTTAAAGATAGCAAATAAAATTCTTATCAACTTTGTTTTTCGTGAGATTTTAATATTTTATTTTTATGGTATGAATCACGTTGCAGTTTGCAGTTCCAACTGGTGCGGAAATCCGGTTGTGTAAATTTTGTCAGTTTCTTTTTCTCTATAATTTTTTTGTCTAGTTTTTTTTTTTTTTTATTTTTTACACATACTTATACAAAAATATATAAGATATTTTTAGACTTGACACAGTTTAAATGTAAAAAATAAACTCGTTTTTTCGTAAAATCAATAAATAACAGAATTAATTATCATAATTGGATATTGAGTGTTTTCTTAATCAATCATCACTATTATTACTCGTAGGGTAGAAATTACATTCAAGAATTTTAAATTTACTAAATTTAAACACTAAAAACTTAGCTCTCAATTATTGGAATAAAAATTTTTGTACACCGTTGACATTTCTAAAAATTCTAGAACCTTCAATTAATTAAATGTGAATTAGTTCTCGGGATTCGCAAGTAATAAACTTCTTTAATTATTGTTTACTGATTTAATGAGTGTATATTCACAATGACCCGAATGAGTTGACACAAACAAACTATAATAATTTTTAATGCTGTACATTGACTTTTACGCCATCGATTATTCATTTAATGTTTTATTTAAAGGTATTATTTATTTATTTATTAGTTATCAATCTTCTAAAATTATTTTTTTCACGGGGCTCTAAGATTATTTAAAGAATCTCAATAATCATCAGCGGAATACTTTAAATTCTTAAAAAAAATTTAAAACATTTCTTGAGCTTTTGAAAATTGTCTAGATAATAATTTTATATTGATTAATTTATTTATAAAATTAATTTGATCAATTTTTCAGATAAGAAAATCGATAATCTAAAATAATTTATTTTTTTTGTGTTAAAAAAATTATTTTACTGAATTTATTTTTTTTTTATGAATAGCATATAAAAAATTTTGAACATTGAATTTTAATCCTCGTACAAGTTGCCTTATTGTCCTCCAAACCCAATTTTTAAGACCTTGAATCAATGAATAAAATCACAAATTATTTTTAATAAATTTTTTGAATAATATGTACAAAACCAGGAAGTGATAAAATAAATAAATAAATTTAGTTAGTATTTATAGAATTGAATAAAGAAAATATAATCTGTGTGATACCTAAATATTTTATTGTAATTATCTAATAAATTAAAATAAACATGATGATAACATGTTAATGGTGAATCACAACTGTACGAGTTGAGTGGTAAACGATATACTGAAAAAAACATTAGTAATCAGTCATCATCATTAATCATTATCATCAGTCATCAGCATTATATTAATCTTTACAATTTAATATAATACTCAGTTAAAAACATCTTTTTAATATATGTTAAACGGCTTAATTTTATTACTAAATTACACAATGCTTGATATATAATATATACTATGACGTAGATAAGCTTACGTTCTCTTATAGAAGGATTTATTTTAATCAATAAAATTTTAATATTTGTTAGATGGTTTATTATTTAACTAACATATTATGATCTATATTTATTAAAGAAGAACATTTAATAATAATAATAATAATAATAATAATAATAATAATAATAATAATAATAATAATAATAATAATCGTTTATTTTAGCTAAAATAGCTACTTACAAGTTATACATAATGTTTTACAATTTTCATGACATTTCAATAAAATTATAATTAATGTGTTGTAATCCGAGGATTAAGGATCATGAAATAAGTTAATACTAGATTTTTATTTTACGCAACGTTTCGGAGTTTATTACTCCTTCCTCAGGCGTCATAAAAGATTTATGTATTAACTTCGTCAACAAACAATAAATGTTGCTCTGTCGTTTCCATCGTTGTCTACAAATTCTAGTCAATACCCGAGCTATCTTAATTTTTACCAAATATTTACTTCTTTTAAAAATATTTTTTAAAAAAACTTTAAAAAATATTATTATCAAATTATTTATTTTTATAAAAACTTTTTAGTCAAAAACACAGCCACCTATCAGTCGAATGTCAACAATCAGCCATCAAAATTATAATATTAATGAATCTATATTATTAAGAGAATAAGAAAAATTTTGTGTCTAGGATAGTCATATGATAAAATCGGTTTTTTTAGTGAAATTTAGTATCATTGCAAAGGTCTTAACTTGAATTTGTGCCTTTTCAAGGTTTCATTATATCATTTTCACCGATAGTCAATTTATTATGATAAGTATTTAGGCTGCATTCGAAAATGGTCTATTTTCAGATACATAATTAAGAAATGACTTTGTATCTTGTGAACTATTGACTTTTTTAAAGATATAAGCTCATCCCGACATTACACTCATCGAGACCTTTCATTTGAGTACCCACATCAATTTTTCATATATTCATATATATTACATATATGTATATATGAAAAATATACCAAAATGCATGTGGGTACTCAAATGAAAGCTCTTGATGAGTGTAACATCGGGATGAGCTTATATCTTTAAAAACGTCAATAATTAAGAAAGTACTGTGCAATTTAACAAAAACAAATAAGAAATGACCCTGTATCTCGTGAACTATTAACTTTTTTAAAGATATAAGCTCATCCCGATGTTACATTCATCGAGACCTTTCATTTGAGTACCCACATCAATTTTTCATATATTCATATATATTGCATATATGTATATATGAAAAATATATCAACATGCATGTGGGTACTCAAATGGAAGCTCTTGATGAGTGTAACATCGGGATGAGCTTATATCTTTAAAAACGTCAATAATTAAGAAAGTACAGTGCAATTTAACAAAAATCATTATTTAATAAAGCAAAATTTTATTTATTTATAGTTCAAAAGTCACGGCAGTCACATAGTGACTGCTAGGTTGCTAGTTTTAATTGAAAATATAATAAATTAAAAATTTTGTTTCAGCCATTAATGAACATTGCTTACTGCGCGTTGATTCTTCTCGGGAAAACGATTCAAAAATTTGTCTTCGGAGAACTAAGAGCATCGGAGCGACAGCATCTAAAAGATAAATTTGGAAATTTTATATTCTACAAGTTCATATTTGTGTTTGGTGTTCTGAACGTTCAATATGCTGATGAGATCGTTTTATGGTGGGCTTGGTTCACTGCACTTGGATTTCTGGGTCTTCTCAGCCAGCTCTGTAAAGATCGATTCGTTTACGTGAGTACAAAATGTTACATATTAAGTTATTATGTTTCCATGCAAGCCCGTTTATTTTCAATTACAAACACACTGCCATGTATTCAAATTCAAATTCAAACCAAGTAACCTTCGATAATATTATAATCAATAACAATAATAAGGAATTACTGATAGAAATCAATACTTTTCACTTTATTTTTGCTGTCAATCGCCAAGGTTTTATAAACACAATCTTAGTTAAGTTATTCATATGATTTTTATCATTTTATCTTGTCCAGTCTGTTGTTCATTTCACAATTTTATCTTATTTTTCTTTTTTTTAATCGATAATTTTAGACGATTGGCGTCAAAAATATCTTTTTTTATTCAGTGTCCGGTGTTTCGGCTACGAATTGTCGCACTGAGACCATTAAAAAGCAAATTAATACTGTGTATACAATCTAACTGACCTTGCACTCATGAGGTTCAAAAAAATTATTCCGAGTCTAGACACTAAAAAAAAAAAAATTTACAAATTTTAAGATTCAAAATGTTTTTATTTATATTTACCTTTTTTTTTATCTGCTCAATTTGAGCCTTGAAATATTTTTTTCAATCAACAATTAATAGAAAAAAAAATGAAATTTCTAGCGTATTTAAGTTTCTTAAATTCTATCATGAATTATTTTTAAAATTTAATAGATAGTTTTTCATTGAAATATTTATATGCATACAGAAAACTTTACTTTACTTAGTGATGATTATTTATTTATTTATGATAATTAAAATATATATAATTACGCTTATTTACTTATCGAGTAATTACTTAACTCACATTTTAAGAAATTATTATTATTATTATTTAAAGAAAACCTGTCTCTAATCACATATCATGCTCTTAGAATCAAAGTAACAGATGAAAAAAATTTTTTCTCAAACATAAAAATTTAATTTAATTATCACAGGTAAAAAATAAAAACTTATCAAGATAAAAACAGGTTTGTAAAAGTACCGTGATTTATTGTAATTAGCATTTAAATTAAAAAAACAATATATATATATATATATATATAGATATATATTTATAAAAATTCGTAAAATAAAACAACACTGGCGCCAGCCTAAATTAAAATATGTTACACTTGAGTGTTTTGTTAAATTTTATTAGCTAAAATAAAACATATGTAATTTTATATTCAACAGGCTGGTATGATTAGATTTTATTATTATTATTATTATTATTATTATTATTATTATTATTTCATTTTAAAAAGTCCATTATTATTAACTAATAATAATAATAATAATAATAATAATAATAATAATAATAATAATAATAATAATAATAATAAATTTTCAACTAGAATTATTATTATTATTATTATTATTATTTTTCTTTTTTTTTTCTTTTTATTAATTTTATTTTTATTTTTATTTAGATGTGTATTAAAGTCCAGTTATAAAATATATTAAAAGGTCCAGTAAAAGAGAAAGAACATAAAATAGTGTTATATAGTAAGACACAGTTAAAATGAGTGGTGAGCGAATATTTCAATGCCAGACAAAGATTAATGGCCAATCTAATCGAAGATCAGCCTTGATTAACTTCGCATTTATTCCATAAACCACGATCATTACTCTTTGCACCATAATTTATTTACTACATAATATTTTTTTTATTTAATAATATAAACCATATAAATTTTATTTTATTATTTAAGTTGTATCATTAATCGGGTGCGTCATATCAAAGTCAATGGCAAATAAGTCGGTTACTTCTATTAGATTTTCCTAACGAGATTATTCTCTCTTAAATATTTTAAATTTATCGACCCGAAAATACCGATAAATATTGAATATATTAAATTTATATCAATAAAAATATTGACATTGATTTCAGAAGATGGTTAAAAAAAAAAAATAATTGTTAAACTTTTTTGATTCAGAGACGTGAAATAAATCACAGGATTCCAATTCAACTGATATGAAATCAGCATGATAGATTAATTTTAAAATGGCCAACCGAATTTTTATTGTATCTGAGCAAAGTGTGTCGTGTGAACGTATACTAACAAGCCGCTGAATGAAAAGAAGCAGTCCTTGAGTCGGCTAGAAAAATTAGAACGCGAACAATATGCAACTCTTGTAAGATCAGAAAATTAAAAGAGAAAAAAAAATATATGTCTCAGCTCGTAATTTGAAATGAAAAAAATATACAGAACAAATTTAAGATAAATAATTGAGCTATTCCAAAATTTATCTAAAAAAAAAAAGTTTTTAATCAGGAATTTAAAGTATTAAACATTCAAGTGTTAAAAATTTTATTTTTTTTAATCTAATCAACTAGATTAAAAAAAAAACTATGATATAATTATCAGTCATTAAAAAAAATAATTATTCCTACAATATCAATTGGTACAAATTAATTAAAAAAAAAAAAAAAAAACACTTAATGTTTAAAAAAGAAAAGACGCAATCCTGTATGACTGGTTAATTTAACTCAAATAGTTATGGATTGACTTTATAAATTTACTGTAAAGTATTTATTAGTTACAAAATATAAATTTTATCATTATTATTGAATCAAAAAAATTTGAATTTGAATTTGAATCAATAAATTATTAATAATTTACGAGATCATAATAATCATAATAAATATAAAAATTATTATTTTACAGTTATCCTTTTCGCCAACAACACCCGGATGGAGTCACGCACGTCTTCTCGGCTTACTCGCGGCGATCCTGGCTCTATCCTTATTTATGCTACTTATATCGACAGCAGCAGCCTTATTTTTTGTGTCCTTCAATACTTATGCGTTTATGGCAGCTGAGGTAAGTTGTTACCATGCGTCGTCGTCGACGCTGTTATTTTATATACTACTTGGTATTGATCCTTGACGATGGTCAACAATCACCGAGAAAAAACATTTGTGTTCATATACATCCACATTGAAAATAAAATACACTCATGGATTGTCGCATAACTTCCTATTCCAGAAAAAATTTTATCTTGAGCTTAAACTTTTAAATTTATATACATTTTATATAATACTGTGCCAAGGAAATCTTCCTCTATTTGTACATATTCAGCTGTTGTATAATATTACCGTTTTTATTTAATAATTTTCTTCAAACTACTCTACTCAATATTTACCAAAATTAAATTTTTAACTTCCCGCTAAAAATCTCAGATTTTCAAAAATCGGGAAGTTATTGTTTTTACCCCGTTTTACAAAAATCGAGTTTTCATCAGATTTCGACGTTTTGAGGTCCTAGGAAGCTTCCCTGACTATTTTTACGATGATGTCCGTACGTCTGTGTGTGTGTGTGTGTGTGTGTGTGTGTGTGTGTGTGTGTGTGTGTGTGTGTGTGTGTGTGTGTGTGTGTGTAAACCTTTTGTAACTTTTGAACGACTTGACCGATTTCATCGCGGTTGGAGTCATTCGAAAGGGCTTCACTAAACTTAGATTTCCTGAAAATTTGAACCGATTCGGACCGGTAGATTTCGAGAAAATGCAATAAAAGTGAAAAAAAAAGTTGTTTTTTTTTATTTTTTTTAAATATCTCCGAATTGGCTGAACCGATCGGTCTCAAAAACCAATCAGCTCTTAACCTTGAAAACCTCCATCGATCGCCACCAAAAACGTTAGAATCGGTTGATGCGTTCGTGAGATATCGTTGTCGAAAAAAATCGAAAAAAGTGTTTTTTTGTAATAACTTCGAAATTCATGGCTCGATCGATTTAAACTTGGAAATTTTTCATGGAGCTTCAAAAACTGCGTCGATTGCCGCCAACCGCGTGAAAATCGGTTCATTTATTCAAAAGTTATTGCCATTTGAAAATTCAAAAAATTGTGTTTTTAAACTGCTATTAGAGTTTTAAGCTCGAAGAGCTCAAATCGACACAAAAATAATATTTTTGAGCTCAAAGAGCTCAAAAACGTAATGTGTAGTTTGAAGCGTTTAAATACAAAATGAGCGGGAAGTTGCAGGGATGGCCTTTAGGGTGAACCGTTTTTCTAATTTTTTTTTACATTACTATCAATTATTTTATTTTAAGTATAAAAAAAATTTTTTTTTTATTAATTAATTTACAAAAAAAAATAGTCTATTAATTTTAAATTAAAATTAAACAAATTTTTAATAATTTTAACTAAAAATTTATTTATTTATTAAGCGTTCTTTTACTCAATCACTAAAAATTTTTTCCGTGTATTGATTAACTCATAAAAACTTGTGAGGCTCCCAAATAGTCGCGTATGTTATCTGAAAAATTTATCACAGCGATTGAAGGTAAAAATAAAAAGGTAAAATACAAAAGAATAATAAAGATAAGAAAGTAAAAACACGCGGATTTAACTGTGAATACTGTAGAGATTTTCCAAGTTATTACCGTTATAGACAACTGGGTATATACATATGTTGTGTATATATATATAAAACACCAATGACGTGTCCAAGCGATACAACATTAGTTATATACATATTTACATTGCGTTACTACGGCAATGCATTAATGCGGTTTTTAAAGCCCAGCTTTAGTACAACATATATGTTGTTATTATGTGTCTTGCAATTGTATGTACAATTTAGTGTATCTACTGTCTCCACTTGTTCGATTAATTTAACGAGAAAATTATATTGTGTACACTAACAATTTTTTTTTAATTACTTAATATCCGATGATTTTTATCAGATGTTATGTTTAAGTGACAAACATGAGCGAGTAAAAGTCAATAGAATGGTAGTTACACTCGTATCGGTGCTTCTGTTAATTATTTTAGTTATAAGGAAAATATTTTAAAGTATTTAAAGATTTAATTTATTGTGGATGTTTTTATTACGATTATTAATTGCGACAAATATATTAATTATAATTTAAAGATAGAATTTTTTTTAATCAAGCTGATTAAAAATTTTATTGATTTAATGCTGATAAACAAAAAGAAAAATTTCATGACTGGAGAACAAAATAATTTACTACTTTAAAAAATAATTTATTAAGAATTTTTGAAATTATTTCTTATAAATTTCTTTCTCCAAAATATTTCTTAATTTTTAACTGAAAATTTCTTACTTCAAAGTATATTTTTTAAAATCTCTCTTCCAAAAGTTTTTTATTATTACTTTTTTTTAAATTTTCTTTCAAAATTGATTTATCACACAAAAAGAAAAATTTCTTGACTGGAGAACAAAATTCTTGGCTCAAGAAAATTTTCGGGTGCCTGAAGGAAGACCAAAGTTGTGTTGGTCGAAGTAAAAATTTTTCTTGAAATTCTATTCTTGGTGAAAGTCATTTTTTCTTAATTCAAATTATCATAAATAGTTGATACAATAAATTTTTATATTTGATTAAGATTTTTAGATACTTTAGGGAAGCAGCGTTACCTACTTCAGCTGAGAAAAAAATTTTCTCTTGAATATTTGATACCCATTTTATTATTATTTTAGCGTGCAATTATACATATTGAATGAAAAAAAATGATTTAATATTATTTAATCTTCCCATTCGACATTTTAATCAATAAAAATATTAATGAAAATTTACTTCTGCCTTTATATTTAATTTTTTGGAGCAAGAGGCTGAATTTTCTCAAAACAAGAAGATTTTCTTGACTTAAATAAATTTTCTCGGATCAAGTTACGTATTTTTTAAAGCAAGAGAATTAATTTTGTTGGAATAAGTGAAATTTCTTGTGTCAAAAAAAAATTTTTTTTTCTCAAGAAAATAGGAAGAAAATATTTTCTTTGCTTTTTTCTGTGTAAAAATCATTTTTATGATTTAATGTCAGTAAAAATAAATGAAGAAAATTATGGAAAAAATTTTTTTAAAAGTAAAATTACCAAAGATTGACCGGAGCACAAATTAAAAAAAAATATGTAATAGTAAATTCAAAAATTAATGAAATAAAAAAAGGCAATTAGATATAATGGTAAACGACCTTTAAGAAAAAGTATATAATTTTATTTCAAAGGTCTGGGGCATCAACCGACACTGTTCTATCTTTTATTTGCACCTTTCTCTTTTCCTTCCTGCTCGTGGTCTGCCGGTTTGTAGTCGCGGTTATAGAAAGTTTTTTATTTATTATTTTCTTGCAATAAAAAAAATAAAAAATTTCAAGAATGTACATAAATATATATACAGTTTTTTAACCTTCATAATTTATATAACAGTTGCAAAAAATTATTACGTGTTATTCAATGATGGATTAGAAAATTTTTTGTTTTTTATTTTTAAATTACTCATAATTTATAACAAGTAATTAATCATTTTTCATAGACAATAATTTTTGAATTATTATTCTGAGATGTGTGTAATTAATAATTACATTGAAAATACATTTTTTTTCTAAGCTAACATGAACTCAAAATTTTTTACAATAATTATTATTGTATTACGATGATCTGATGAATTATTTTTGTCATATTGGGTGTTAGATAACTTTTTGTGTTTACAAAGTATAAAAAGTAACTTGAAACTTACATAATTAAATTATAATTGTAAAATTTAGAATTTTAATAATTTACAAAACAACTTGAGTGAAATCTGGCGGATTTTAATTTATTAGACCGGGTAATTTTTGTTCACGAAAGTGTAAAACAACACCCCGCAAATTTAATGATTGAATTTTCCGGGCAGATGTTCCCTCAGCTCAAAATAGAACACGCATCACATTGGCAGTGTAATTATTACTTTAAAATCCTCACAATGTTATTTCGCAAAGTTGTGGATAAAAAAAGTGCTTTTAAAAATTTACACTCATTCAACTTTAACAATTATTTTATTTCATCTTTATAATTAAAAAAAAATTTTTAATTCAATTATTTACACTGAAAATAATTAGTTAAAATTTTTATAATTTAACTTTTTCATTAATTTAATATTATTTTAAATTTAAACTTTTTCTGTAAGCTATTAATTTAATTTAAAAAAAAGCTGTAGTTTGTAGAAAGTTATAAATATTAAATATGTTGGATATTTTTTCATACTTTTGAATGTTAATTTTTAGAATAACCCAATTTTTTACACAGAACAAAAAATTAACTTGAATCAAGGCGAAAAGTTTTTGAATTAAGTAAAATTTACTTAAATCAAGAAAAATTTTTTTACTCAAATCAAGAAAACTATTTTATACTACAGCCGCTTTTCGAAACTTTAAAAAAACAAAATTTGGTTCCACTTTTAAATGAATAAATATAAACGAAAATAAAAGTATAATACTTGAATATCGTCGAATTATGTATGTATTCCGACGTATGACTCACTGCAAAAAAGTTTGCTTCAAATTAACGGTAGTTTTTTTTTACAACGAATATTTAATTAATAAATGTATAAATGTATATTATCGAGAACTACATTAACTCAGAAGTAGGTCGATAGTCTCAATAATAATTTAATGATACATCTCGTTTCGAATATCGGTAATAATTATTTACTCAACAACTGAATCTAATAAAATGTATGCATGCGGTAAAAAAAATAAATACATACTCATAATTACTGTAATTAACAACTATTTTAAAAAACTTGATAATTCAACATTGTACTTGATTTTTCTCAGTTGCAATAATTATCAATTACAGTGATTGAAAAATCGCTGAAAAAAATTTAAGTAAAAAAAAATTCAATGCATTTTAATAAGCAATTTTTTTTATTAAAAACTATAATTATAATTACTAGCAACCTGCAGTTACTATGCAACTGCCGAGATTTGCGAATTATGAATAAGAAAATTTTGTTTCATTAATTTTTTGATATTTCTAATCACACTATACATAGTTTAGGTACTTTTTAAATAAATTTTAAAAATCATAGTGATATCGCAGGATTAATTATAAATAATTTAAAGGAAAAATGTGACTGAACAAATTTATAGAACCAAAAAAACTATTAAAAACTCCTCCAAGAACTTGACATAAAAAATTGATTACTGAAAAATATATAAAACCAAAAGGCACTAATTCTAATCAAGACCTTTCTGATAATACCAAATTAAACTACACAGAAAAAATGGTTTACTTAAGCCAAGAAAATATTATTCTTCCTAATTATTTTCTTGAGCGAAAAAAAAATTTTTTTTTGCCACAAGAAATTTCACTTATTCCAACTAAATTAATTCTCTTGCTTTAAGAAATACATATCTTGATCTAAGAAAATTTATTTAAGTCAAGAAAATCTTGTTGTTTTGAGAAAATTCAGCCTCTTGCTCCAAAAAATTTAGTCCTTGATAGAAGTAAATTTTCTTGTCTTGAGAAAATTTTTCTCTTGCTCCAAAAAATTAAATAACTCGACAGTAGTAAATTTTCATTAATATTTTTATTATTAATTAATTAACATGTCAAATGGGAAGATCAAATAATATTGAATCATTTGTTTTCATTCAATATGTATAATTGCACGCTAAAATAATAAAAAATGGGTATCAAATATTCAAGAGAAAAATTTTCTCAAGGTGAGAAAATTTTTTTCGCAGCTGAAGTAGGTGGCGCTGCTTCCCTAAAGTATCTAAAAATCTTGATCAAATATAAAAATTCATTGTATCAAGTACTTATGATAATTTAAATTAAGAAAAAATTACTTCCACGAAGAATAGAATTTCAAGAAAAATTTTTACTTCGGCCAACACAATTTTGGTCTTCCTTCAGGCACTCGAAAATTTTCTTGAGCCAAGAATTTTATTCTTCAGTCAAGAAATTTTTTTTTCTGTGTATAAAAATTCCTTTGAAAATACTAATATGCTCGTCACAAAATTTTTCTTACTCTCTCAATTATTTAAATCATAAATAAATATCGCTAAAAAACATCAAACCCACTTTACGATAAAGATATACCCGTTACTAAATTTTTCTTAGTCTCTTAATTATATAAATTAATTTTTGACATATCACCACATTCACGTGTACAAAAGAAAATAAATAAATAAATAAACAAATTTTGTTTATCGCTAAATTCGAATCTATTTATAACTACTTCAAAAACTTATCATAATAAATAAACTATTTTAGAAAAGCATATGAAACATTGAAAAGGCACTAATTCAGGTCTGGACCTTTCCAATGATACTAAATTTTCATTTAAAAAACTCATTTTATCATATAAATATACTGACTACAAAATCCCGCTTATTCTCTTAATAATATAAATTAATAAATGTATTATTTTTCCAGTGTATCCTGCTGGCAGTTCGTACAACTCACGTAATGCTGCGATACGCGATTCATCTTTACGACACGAGATCATCGCCCCGGTCATCAGACAAACGTGGACCGCTGGCTTATTACACGGAATTAATTTGCGAATTAACTGTTCTCGCAGTTGACTTTCTTCACCATGTTCACATGCTGTTGTGGAGCAACATTTTACTAAGCATGGCGTCACTTGTAATATGCATGCAGTTACGCTTCCTATTTCATGAGATTCAACGTAGAATTACTAAACACAGGAACTACCTTGCAGTATTAAACCATATGGAGAAAAAGTATGTATTTATTATCTTATCTGGAATTTAAAATGTCATTATTTAACAGTAAAAATAGTTGCTCAATTATAAAGACGTAATAACTATTTTTTTTTTTATAAGAAAAAATTAGAGAATTTTTCAATTGGTCACTTGTTAACTTGACTTATCAAGTTCGAAGAAAAGCGGGATAAAATAAAAATTATTTTTAGAAATGTTTCTTATTTTAATTAACTACAGTCGGGGGTAGAAAGATGCTTGAGTAAATTTATATTTTTAGAATAAGCTTTGTTTGAATATTTAAATCCTTAGAGTGGTTTTCGACTTATCTCAACTGGTTTTTAGTTAATAAAAAATTGTTAAACATGACACATTTTATTTAAAAATTAATTCAGATTATTAAATTTATGTTAATTAAAACCGTAAAAATAACATTTTAGTTATCTAGTTTTTTAAATATAGTAATATCAATCATTTTTTTTTAAATTTGATTTTCATAATTATAAAAAATGTTCTTACTAATTTTATTTAAAACAAAAAAATTTTTTATTAAATTCATTTAATTTATTAAAAAAATTATTTTATTAATTTTATTTGATAAAAAAAAATTTTTTTCTAATATCACTTAATAAAAATAATTTTTTCGTTAATTTTATATAATCAAAAAAAAAAAAAAAAATAATTAATAAATTCTATTAAAAATTAAAGCTATCCAATGGCCGCACCAGAAGAACTAGCCGAAAATTGCGACAACTGCGCAATATGTTGGGAGAAAATGGACTCAGCCCGAAAATTGCCATGCAGCCACTTGTTCCACAACTCCTGCTTGCAATCTTGGCTGGAACAAGACACTTCGTGTCCGACATGCAGACTGACATTGAGCATGCAGGCTAATAGACGCGATAGCACAGTAGAATTAAGAGTAGAGTCACCCGAATCACAGACCTCAGTTGGCAGAAATGACAATCACTTCTTTCACTTTGACGGCTCGCGGTACGTGTCTTGGCTGCCGAGTTTTTCTGTCGAAGTTACGCATAATCGTCTGCGAGGTGACATTCTTACCTTGGCACACAGCAATTCTCAGCTGGATGCAATGGCAAGACAAGTAAGTCGATCAGTATTCCCGAATATTCAATTACTCTTATTAATTAATATTATCATACAATTTTTTTTTTTTTTTTTTAGGTATTACAGTTATTTCCTCATTACCCGCGGAATGTTGTATTAGAAGACTTGAGAATCACCAGATCTGTCGAGTTAACCGTAGAAAATATCTTAGACGGTAGATTAACGCTGCCGCATCATGTGATTGGCGAGATCGAACCTGAAACTTCGACTCAAACTCAAACTAGTAGTAATCATATTTTACCTAGTCCAGTTACTTCAAAGACGTGGGATCCCAAATTTGATGTACCTGTTGTTGATAGGTAATTTACTTTTTTTTTTTTTTTGCAGTAATTTTATGACTAATTTGGGTAATTATTTACAAGTGGGCTCAACCCTATTTTGGACCATAACTACACGAAACGAACAAGATACCGTAACCAATTTGGCGCCGAATATTAATATTTTTTCAAAAATTAAATTCCAAAAAATTGCTCTTTCGATATAAACAATTGCTCCGCTGCTATAATTAATAATTAATTAATTAATCGTAATTAAAAAATCAAAATTTAATTATCCCGATTATCTCTAATTGTAAGGAGTTATTTTAATTGTAATAAGTGCCAAAAAATTGCTCATCCTTTTCTCTATTGGGAATGATAGTTATTTTGTGCGTAAAATCGTTTTTAATTAATAAATACTATAAGTAATTATATTGCACCTTTAAACCTGCGAATGACAATTGTGACGTCATCGTCGCGACAATTTGAAATTATACAGTAAATTTTCTTTTATGAAATATCTTATACTAATCAAGAAAGTCAGTTTTGTTTGGAATATTCAAGTAAGGATGTAGTTATCGTCCCACGTAGGGAATTTGAAAAATTTTTATTTAAAGATTTTTTTAGAGAAAATTTTCAATCAGTCGCCATTTTTTTTAAAATAAAAATAAAAATTTATGGTAAGAAAGAATAAAGATTCGATAGCTTTTTTGCCTTTAAAAGTTAGAAAAAATATTGGATTTTAAGTTTTTGGATGAAATTTCTATTTTATCTTTTTTTTATGTTTTTTTTTTTTTTTTTAAATACATAAAAAAAACGAACAATTTAAAAAGTAGAACATTTTTTTCTATAGCCAAACATAGGGCAAAAAGGGGTTGATCCCACTTATAAATAATTACCCTAATTTAGTCTAAAAAATTATTTTTTAGCTACTAAAAATGAAATTTAATTTTTTTATTAATATATATTTAAAGAAAAATAAAAATGACAAATTTGAGATTATTTTTTAATTTTTACTGCTTAAATTAATTTATTATTGTCTAATGTTTTGACTTTTGTTAATTATTAAATACATAAATAATAATTATCAAATAGATGATAATAAAATCATGTTATTAAGTAGGTCAATGCAAAGTCAACAAACATATGTTACAAAGTATCACTTTAAGAGTTGAATTTTTTTTTTTCTTGTAAATATTTTACAATGAATTTTTTTATCATAAAATTAAAAAATTTTCTGGTTTTAATTTATTGATAATTGATGTATTTATTTTTTTATTTTTTTAGAATGTCACCAAGTAAAGATATTATTCAAATAGTGGAAAAGTAAATATTTAATCATTGTTATTTGATAAAATATTAAGCTTTGTATAATAATTATAATAATAAACTTTTTAGTCAAACTGAAGAACCATCAACTGTTGGCGGAAGATTTTCAAAATGTTCAAGTGAACGTGAGCGAATATTACACCGTCGTAAAGAGCATATGCTTCTGACAGCAAGACGAAAATATCTTGAGAAACACCGAAAGTCTGAAGTTGAGTCAACATCATCTGGAATTTGTTCTGACAATTTAATAGAGTCCAGATCTTAAAATAACTCATTAAAACAATTTATTTTAATTATTTTTTTCGAGTAAAAAATTGGTAATTAAAAAAAAAAAATTATTTTTCATTCATCAGTCTTTTACGAAAAAAAAAAAAAAATTATTAAAGTAAGATCAATTGAGTTTTCAAATATTGTATGATGTTGAAGATAAATAATAATCAGTAATTATATTTGTGACAATATATATTAATGATATATATATATTTTTGTCAATTAAATGCAAAGTATGAGAAAATTCAATGCGTATAAACAAATTAAAAGTGTTAATTTAATGTTTTATCATTTTCAATTTTAACTTAAATATTAAAGCTAACAAACTAATGGTAATAAAAACATACATAATTATAATAAATAATAAAAAATAACAAACGGCTGTGTTTTTATGCAAGATTAAACTTAAAATAAAACTTTTCATCAAGTTAATCAAAGGAAAAAAAAAATATTTAAAAATGATAGCTGATTTTAAGATAAATTAGATTTTTGAATGATTTACTAAAGAGAATGATAAATAAATTCAGCCTTGCATTAAATCTGCCGATTATTATCGAGTAAATTTTTTTAATAGAAAATAAAAATAAATTAAATTGCAATGAGCTTTTGATTATTAAAAGTACTAAACTTGATAAGTGTAATTATTTAGAAAATTGAGTAAATGTTATAATTATCAGCAGCTCAAATAAATCCGACCACTAGAGCAGATTAAAGACTAATTTTTAAACTCAATAATATTTCATTGTTCACTTATATGTTTGTAGTACTTAATTATTGAGGAATTTATAAATTATTATTTTTTCTTTAATAAATTAACGAATTTAACATTTTAATACGCAGCGTACTTTTACGTCAAAGCATTCTTTGGCTGATGAAACGCTTCGACAATTATAACAGCAATTTTTTATGCCTGAATAAATATTTATTCAAGTCTGCTCTGATAATTTTTTTTTTTTTATTTCAAGTGTTCAAAAAAAAAAAATAAATTTAGATCATACTGTTAATGATTAAAAGTACCAATTGTTGAGTTTATTATTTAAAGATAAAATAGTTAAATACTCCAGTAAATATTTATATTCTTTAAAAACATAAAAAGTATTATTACAGATCACAATCTATACCTTTATTTTTATTAACAAAATTCCAGAGCAGGATTAAAAATTTTTTTTCACAATAATAAGCCATTAAATTATTAGAAAAGTAAAATATAAAAATTTATAAATTAAAAAAAATTTATAACAAGTAAATTATTAAAATTATTGATTTTAAAAATTAGACAAAGCTTGCAATTGCTATAATTAATTACTCGACAATAAATCTGTCAAAAAAGGACTGTCATAATTACTCTTAATTATAATTATTTATTTTAATTAACATGTATTTGTCATTCATGTGCCAATTATACACTCGGCTTCTGTTGTATCCATTTCATTTATTTAAAATATATATCACTATATCAATTATTAATTAATTAAAAATTATAATCAGCATTAATTTTTATTTTAAAATTAAATAATTCAAGTTTTTTTTTTTAAATAGAACGTTTTAGTTTATTGTTAAATATATTACTTTGTAAATTATAAAATATTTAAATATCGTACTTTCGGTCAACATTTATCAAACATTGACTCAGTAAAATTACTTTTCTATTATTATTATTATTAATTATTACAGGAACAATATTATGATTTTTATTATTTATTCTATTGAAATTATATTAAAAAAAAAAAAATTATTTTGAAGCTTTTTAAGGCAGTGTACTTTTAATCTAAATAATTAAATCCATTTAATACTTAGCCATTGTAATAATTATCGATTATTAATTATGATGTAAAAAAAAAGTTTGTAAACGAGCTGATGATATTAATTAAAGTCTGAGAGATTTGTGTGAGGTTTATGTTTTATATATTTAAGCTGAAAAAATAAAAAATGTGGAAGCAACATAGATATAAGTAATGAGTGAATATTTAATTATAAATAAATAAATAAATAATCAATATGTAATGTATCTTAAAAGTATTAAATAAGTTTAATCGTTATTGATCTTACTATTATTTTTTAAATTTATTAATATGCTTACGCAACTTAATATGATCTACGTATAAATTATAATAATTAAATGTGTTGTGCTTTCTTTAAAAATAATTCATTAATTATTATATGGTATGATTATTAATTAGTTGATTGCTTTGTGATAAAATTTAATTAGAATTAAAGCGTTAATTATAGAATATATTTCATGAATTTGTCGATTTTTATACATTAAAAATATTATTTCATTTTAATTTAGAGATTTTTTATTTTATTTATTAGTTATATTAATCATTTTTTTTTTATTAAAAAATTAATAGATAATTATTATTTGATAATAAAAAAATTAGTCTTTAAATTGTTCTAAGTTTGTAATTTAATTGCTGGAATGATTTTTAATAATTTTTTTTTACTGGAAAGAATTGAGTGATTAAAAAAATTTTATTGTAATTTTCATTTTTAGGATAATTAATTAATTGAATGTTTCTTTTTTATTCACTTAATTTATTTATTATTATCTTCTCTAATTTGTTAGACTGTTTTAGTGATTTATAAAATTTATGAATATCTAAACGAACTGACTGTATAAAAATATTGATAATAATAATAATACAAATGCTCTAATATTTAGTTTATTATTGTCACATAAACCTTGTGTGATTGTGAATTTTTTTTATAAAAAAATTTTATAGATAATTAAATTTATGATAAATGAATTAATTTTATGAAAATAATAAGAAAATAATTATTAATAATAAATTTATTTCATTATTACAAATAATGCAAAGAGTTTTTGTCGTCTAGGTATAATTTCAATAATTGATGATTTTTTAGGTATTAAATATTTAAATTATCCAATGAAATTCATTACGACGAGATGGAGGATGATGTGTGCAAAAATAAAATCAGCAAATCCACGTTCAGGACTTATTCCATAAAATTGACTTTTATTTTGCGGGTTAACTTGTAGTCTCAAGCAAACTGCAATTAAAAAAAAATCAATATTAATAATTAATTAATTAAAAAAGAAAAAACAGTAAATTTCGTGATACTGAATTTAACAGACATCTAATAATTTTTTAGATTTTTTAACAATTAAATTATAATGAAAAAAATTTAGATAAAAAAATTTCACTTGTAGAAATTTAAAAAAAATTTTAAGTGCGAATTTTTAAAAATATTTTTTTTATAATTATTGATTTGTTATGAAAATTTCAAGAATTTTCAGATGTCTGCTACTTAATTTCATAATAATAAAATTAGCTAACATTTTTTATTTTTTTATATAACTAAAAAATATTTTTAAAAAATTGCACTTATAGTTTTTGAAGTTTTTTACAAATGAAAAGAATTTTTTTGTAATAAAAAAAATCATAACAGACTTTAGATGTCAGCTAACTATATATTCATGCTTATTTCAGTGCCATTAACTTTCAATAAATTAAAAAAATTAATTACACCTTTAGAAAATATTTATTTTTATACTTTTATTTAATGAAAAATTTATTTGATTAAAATTAACAAACATCTGACAATATTAAATTTTTTTTTTGTAAATTATAAAAAAAATTTTATTTAAAAAAATAAATTTTTTTGTAGTTTGATTTATCAAAAAAATAAACTTATCAGGTGTCAGTTTTTTTCTTAAAAAGTGACAGATGTTTATTTGATTAATAATAGCAATTCGAGGTTATTATATTAAAATTAGCCGACATTAGACAATTTTCAATAAATTGAATCAATAAAAATTATAAGTAAAAAAATTTTTAAAAAGTCGCACTTAGAATTTTTCAACTAATTTTTTCTACGTAATTTCTTTCAATAAAAAAAATTCTAAAAATTTTCAGATGTCGACTAATTTTATTTTCATGAGATTATTACAGTAAATAAATACAAAAAAAAAAATTACCTGCTAAAACAAAGCAAGAAACACATGAAATAAATCCACTTAAAAAACTGTTGAATGGAAATGTGCCAACTAAGCAACAATACAAAAATTGTATGACACCGGTGAGTAAAATGTACAGCAAGTACGAATCAATTATTTTAAGTTTCTTGGGTGTACTTTTGCTGTACTCGTTGAAAAATTTCTTCAGCACTGCAACGATAGACATTATTGATATTTTTTTATTATTTATAACAATTATAATTTCTTATTCAATAATTTTTTAGCTTTCCAGTGATTGACGCGTGGCAACACCAATATCACGGTTAATAATATATAATAGTATCTGTAACAACATAAAAAATATAGATAAACTCACATACAATATAATATAAAATATATATAGAAGGAATACTTACGAATAAATTTATACGATCGATTGAAAAAAGTTAACATTGATTTCTGTGTAATCAAATGAAAGCAAGAACTCGGTAGTTGATTATAAAGACATTCAAACTGACATTGGAAATTTTTTTATATTTTTTAATAATGAAAAATATTTATTAAAAAAATTCCAGATGTCAAAATTGAAAGAAAAAAAATATTTATTATTGTAATAATTTTGTTGTAAGAATTAAAAAAAATTGACAGCTGTTAGCTAACTTCAGTATCATCAGTTGAAAAGCAAGAAAAGTGGGGGTAAGTCTTTCTGCGCGAAGCTAATGCGCAGTAGCCTATTCCGTTAGCCGCCATTACAGCGACAACCAACGAGCGCCTCGGTTAATCTCTCGACAAATTCATGGAAAAGTAATATTTAATTATTGAAATAAATAGAAATTTATATTCACACAGATTAAATTTGACCCTAGGAATATTTTAAGCATAAATTCAGTCTTATTTAAAGCGAATTTTAGTTTATTTTTCAGAAATTATGTAGCCGGTTTGACTGATAATGGTAAGACGCAATTTATTTTATTGTTGAACGCAACTTGGTATTAAAAAATTAAGGAGCGCCTCAATTTGAAACATTGACGTAAATTATTTTATTTATTAATTTAAATTTAGATTTTTTTTAATATGAAATACATTTAAGAATTGTTTAAAATTTGATAAATTAATTTTTTTAAATAAAAAAGAATTTTATTGAGAGTTAGTTTCGAGTTTGTTAGTTGGTGGCGCTAGTAGTAAAAACTTAAACATCGCGCGCGCGCGCGCGCGGAAAAATTCAAAAATTAGAAACTCAGTTATTTTTTGACATTTCGGAATAATTTATTTTTTTATTAATTTAATTCTAGTTCAAGAAATTAAAAATAGTGAAAAGTAGTGTAAATTAAAAGTTTTTTATCGTTAATATGTGAAAGTGAAGTTTTAGCTATTTTAGAGGACAGAAGTTTGTTCAGAGTATTTGGTGTCAAGAATTTCGGATGAAGAATAATTTTTTTTCAATCATCGAGGTCTACAGTACTGTAAGTTTTTTTTATTTATTTAAAAATTACAACTATAAAGATGACATTAAAGTTATCAGTCGCTTGAAAATTTTTTAATTTTTTTTAATAAATAAATTTGCTCCAAAAAATTATTTCTAAAAAATTGGATTTTTTATTTTTATAATTTTCTAAATGTCAATTTTTTTTTCTCATTTTCTTTCACATAATTTATTTGTAAAAAAAATTCTTAAAATTATAAAATATCTGCTAAATTAATTCTCATATTATAAAGCAATAAAAATACTAAGCTTATAAATTAAATAAAATTACCAGTAGTCACTTCCACGAGCTTCCGTTAAAATCTCAGAGATGTCAGATCCATGTCTAAAATTAATAAAATTTAATTCCCAAAATTCATAAAAATTATTTTAGCATATATTTAATAATTTAAAGAATTTTATCATTAATAAATTATGGCAAAACAATTAAAAAAAAAATTGACATGTCGAAAATTTAAAAAATAAAAAATGCAATTTTTCGGAACAATTTTTTTTGTTCAATAAAATTGAAAAATTGTGAACTGACTGTTAACTTCAATTTCATCGAATTAATTTCCTCCGTAAATTAAAAATAATTAATTTCCTGAATTTATATAAAAGCATTCTTTTTACACTATCTATTAAAATATCAGACCAAAGTACCTTAAAAAATATTCTCCCAAAAATAAATAAAATCTCCGAGATAATTAGACCAGAACATATAAATAAAAAAAAATATAAAAGGACTTATAATTACTTTCATTTTTCGAAGTTCGTACAAGATCTCGTTGCGGTTGAAGAATCAACCTGACTTGTCTGTAATTAGATTATCATTATCAGATAATAAATTAATAAATAATTAAGTAGTATCGTCGTGCTTCAGTTGCAATGTTAAGTTCCCGTTATGCAGATAATATAATAAGAATTAAAACCCGTACTTTAACGTGGGCGGATGTGATGCATTTTTATACGGAATTGGTAAATTATTATTGTCGAGTCGGTACATTATATTAAAGCAAAAGCAATACAATATACATACACAATAAATTGAGGATGAAGGGTTTTTTTTTTCGATCTTTTTTCGTTACCATAAGAATAAATTTATAAATATTCATACATCCTGGTCTCAGAATCGGTGGATACCAAAATAATTCTGCTCGTGTGAATAGGGATGCTCTAATAAATCTCTCATTTCAATAAATTCTTCCTCCTTTATTATTTAAAATATTAGATTTGAAAATACTTGTATTATTATCATTCTATTTATATAAATAATTTTTCTACAATAGCAACATAAATTTCCGGAAATGTAATGCGCATTTACGGTGAAACGGTACACTTAACCTGAGCCGGTTGGTGTGTACAATTTTTACGGGGTCATGGTAGTGCATTCAGATATTTTAGCTGATCGACATAGATATGCTATACATCATGTGCTGTAGCATACGCATCTCTTTGAGCGTACTGTTATGCATATATGTATACACATATTTATTTACATGTTTGTGCATGTATCCTCCCTCAAACTCAAAACCACCGGCAGTCACCGATCGTAATCAAACGGAAAAAAATATCGGTGCATTGCACATGCAATGTCCATAAATTAACTGTAATTATTTTAGTATTCTGTGTTTTAGTAATCATATATATAAAGCTGAATACAATTAAATTTTAATATGTATAGATATTGACCGCAGTTACATATTGGTAAATATATTTGTAGATCGTTTAATCAATCATTTTGATACTGTTATAAAATTAAAATAAATACACAGAAAAAAAATTGACTTGAATAAAAAAAATAATTATTTTGAAGAAATTTTTTTTTTTATTCAAGTTCATTTTCTTTTTTAGTTTCAAAGTCAATTAGGTATGCAATCGTTTAAATTACAGATTTTGCAAAATTTTATATCTTTGATGATCGTCCATAAAAAATTTTGTTAAAATTTTTTCGATGTAATACATAAATTATTAATTTTTATCCTCATGAGAGGTGAAGTAACTTAAAATGGATTTTTATATTTTTTTTTAAATAATTATTACTAGCAACCCTGCAGTCACTAATGTGACTGCCATGACTTGTGAACTATAAATAAATAAAATTTTGCTTTATTAAATAATGACTTTTGTTAAATTGCACTGTACTTTTTTAACTATTGATCTTTTTAAAGATATAAGCTCATCCTGATGTTACACTCATCAAGAGCTTTCATTTGAGTATCCACATGCATTTTGATATATTTTTCATATATACATATATATAATACATATAAATATATGAAAAATTGATGTAGGTACTTAAATGAAAAGTCTCGATGATTGTAACATCGGGATGAGCTTATATCTTTAAAAATATCAATAGTTGACAAGATACAATGTCATTTCTTAATTATTGACATTTTTTAAGATATAAACTCATTTCGATGTTACACTCATCGAGACCTTTTATTTAAGTACCCACATGGCATTTTTTATATATTTTATATATATGGTATTTATGAAATATTTAAATATATAAAATAAATGAAAAATTGATGTAGGTACTTAAATGAAAGATCTCGGTGAGTGTAACATCGGGATAAGCTTATATCTTTAAAAATTTCAATAGTTCTCAAGATACAAGGTCATTTCTTACTTATGTATCTAGAGATAGAGCATTTTCGAATGCAACCTAAATACTTATCATCATAAATTGACTATTGTCGAGAATGATATGAAACCATGAAAAGGCACAACTCCAGGTTAATACTTTTCCAACGATACCAAATTTAACCATAAAAACCCATTTTATCATATAAATACACTGCCCATAAAATTTTGTTTATTCTCTTAATAATATAGATTAATTGAATTTCTCGAAGAACAGAAACAAAATTCCTTATAAAATTAATTCAATAAAACAAATTTTTTTTTTTCGGTCAATCTGATATAAAAATTTTTATTTCTCGAAGAAAATAAAAAAAATGATGAATTCGATTCTCTTTTTATTGACGCTCACTATTTTTATTTCTATTGTACAATTTACATTCGCTTGTCTTCATTGTCCAGATTTTACGGTCCGAGAACCAGATGGCAACTGTGAGACCATCAAATATTAGAATTCAAACTAAAACAAAATAGTTTGATTAAAAATCTAAAAATACACACAACAATTTTTTGCTTAACCAAAGTGAGAATTATTTTGAATCAATTTGTATAAAAATACTCCTACACTTACAAGCAGTATAATTGAAGGTCTCGCGACTTCCGAGTGTGGAATTGAAGGGCCTTTTAAACCCCAGAGAGAACTAGATAGAGTAAAAAAGGGCTCTCGTTAAAGTAATTTCAAAACATTACATATTATATTCTCGGGTTGGGTTTTTGTCGCAATTGCTGGCCCTTGACAATACACAGCGGATGTGAAAAATTCACGAAATATAACAGCTCTATATTATACATATACACCCATGTAAAACATATTTATGCATAGGATGGTGAGAGAATAAGAGAGAAAGAAAAATTTGAATGAGATTGTTACGGTTGTTGGCTATACACAGTATGATGGTAATTTTGCACTTATTTTTACGCATTCATTTTAGTTTTATTTATTTACTCTTTTTCTTTAAAACTCTGTCTACCAGACTGCAGACTCATACTCCCAGTTCGCAATATTTACTAGTTCCCTACCAAAGTGTGAACTCTTCATTTAAATATTAAAATATAAAATATGAGCTCCTTTTAATTTACAATCTTATCATGTTTTTTTAATTGGACTCTAAGTGTTC